AAAACACACACACACACACACACACACACACACACACACACACAAAATATTTATATATATATATATATATATATATATATATATATATATATATATATATATATATATATATATACATATTACATATTACCAGACCCTTTAGTGGAACAGTGTCATTGTGGTCCTGTGGTCAGTGCATTGCATTGCATTATGACGCTGCTGACCTGGGTTTAAATATAACTTAACAAGTTATTTTTTTAATTTTATTTTTTTTATTTGTGACCACCGTTAAACAGGCCATCAGGAGGTTGGGGGAGAAGGTAAAAGCGCTTCTTTTCAGTTAATTTGGAGCCAAGAAATAGAGGAAAACTAGTGAACATTTCGCAAGAGCACCTGTGTCTGTTTGGCATGTCATGTGAGCAATATCACAACCAGCTCAAAACCAGAAACTTGAGAAGAAATTGCTAATTCACTTTAAACACAGGTGAGAAAATATAGACATTTTCTACCACATTAAAAGCTTCTGTCTTGTTATGTAGTTAATAACAAAAGATATACTACATGTTTTTGGTTGTGAGACATAGTTTGGACGAAGTTGTTGGCGATTATTCCTATTGTAAAGTCATGCAATGTAAAAACCCCTGTCGCCGATTCATCTTGCAGTGCATCATGCAGTCTCAACTGGGCATTACCCAATTCACCTGTACGGCATGTCTTTGGACATGAGGGGAAAACCAGCGTACCCGGAGGAAGCCCCTCCTCCTTTTAATATGAACTTTATACTTCCGGCAATACGATTCTTATCAATTAAATTAAATCCTATATAAGTTATACTTCCAGTTATTAGGCAATCAAAACTTTTGACCACTAGTATGGGTGTATACTCTTTAGTTTATATTTAGTTTGGGTTGTATTAATATTTGTCTGGAATGAGCAGTGTTTTTTTTTTACAGAAGGCTTAAATATGTGGTTTAGATGTGTTTAATATTCCTCTGAGTTATAATGCTTAAACACAGTAAACACAGTTACTTTAGGAATCCAAACCACAGCTTTTATATAAATTAAACTAAAACTTAACTGGCTAGCAAACTAATCTAGCTTAGTGGCACAGGCCTTTGGACAAAGCTCAATTTTCACAGCTGAAGGTTGTGCCTTATTTTTTAGCTCTTGGACAAATAGAAAGGAAACAGACCATCGTATAATTTTCATCATAATAAGAAAATTACTTAACAGCTATGACTTGCCATAGAATGACTAAAGCATTAAACAAAATGATATTGATATTAAAAAATATTGATGTTAAAATATAAAAAAAATATATAAACAAAACATTGAGTACACTAATTTAGCAATTTCAATTGTTTGTTTATTGTCAAAAATGGACATGATGATTAATAAATGATGATTTAACTATGAATGCACAATGACATGCAATTCTATCTATATATATATATATATATATATATATATATATATATATATATATATATATATATATGTGTGTGTGTGTGTGTGTGTGTGTGTGTGTGTGTGTGTGTGTGTGTGTGTGTGTGTGTGTGTGTGTGTGTGTGTGTGAGTGTCAAACTAATTTTTGTACATTTTAATTTTCTTGTGTGTGTAGGTTACAAAATGGTCCTCAATTTAAAAAAAAAAATCACATTATTTACATTAACTGTTATTTGTTAATTTTCTATTTGCAGTTGTTCACCAACAATCCTTTCAGTGAGCCCAAACTAATAATTTAACACCAGATAAAATAATTTAAATATTAAAGAAAATAAAAATAATCTTTTAAAATAAATACTTAAAGGCAACATGAGTTTGATATTTTTATTGCAAGCCACAAAATGTGATGAGGATGTAAACAGATCTCCAGGTCGTTTCTTCCACCCTAAAAGAAGGATATCCTTATCCTTAACGACTGAAACCAATGATGTCTAAGTATTTCTCTGTCAAGTTCTGAGACTTCTTCCCAAGGGTAGCCATGACTGTGAACAGACCGCACAGATGGAAGTGGAAAAGCACCTCAGGTTCAGCCTCCAGCAGTGGCTCAAGGTCTTTCTGCAGGCATGTGTGATATTCGCCATCCTCGTGTGGGACCAGACCACTCTCCACCATGTTCTTGATATCTTTCAGCATAAGGTAGTTCTCGTACAGATCCATGCTGTTGTCTGTGGCACCTGGAGCATCATTGTATGGGATGTCCCGCAAGAGGCTAGGCAGCAGGATGGTCTGCTCCATATTGTGCACAGAAGTGCTGTAGCGCTGCAAGGCCAGCAGCAGCGAGCTTCTGCTCAGTTTGGCATCGACAGACTGCATGTCTTCAAGTTGGTTTCAGGCTGGGGATGTTTCAATACAAGTGATGTGGCCAGTGCCTAAATGCAGTGCAAATTCAGCAGAGCATGGCTCGTTTTATAGAGAGTTTGACAGTGGACAGTTGTGCAACATTAGTGGTCTGATCTAGGACTGGCAGAGTTCAGTTGAATAAAAAAACCTTGAGCTAAATCACCCCTCCCCCGTTTATTTCTTCACAGCAGGACATTTTAATGGCTATTATGAGATCAAGCTGTTTCATAATCACTGACCCCAAATTGTGTTTTAACATTAGACCCCTTAAAAGAAAAATGCTTAACTGTAACAAATGTGCAAATATTGTGTATGCTGCTATATTTAAAAAAAAAAAAATATATATATATATATATATATATATATATATATATATATATATATATATATATATATATATATATATATATATATATATATATATATATATATATATATATATATATATATATATATATACATATATATAT